CTGTCCAGCAATTTGGGTTGACCTACATTTATAAGTGGTTGATTCCGGGGTCAATGCAGGTGTACTCCATACCGTGGGGTGTTTGGGATTCGCAGACTGGGGCTTTAATGTGGCCCGTCATCCCTTTTGCCAGTTGAAGAAGGTTACAGGTGCCAGTGGCAGCTGAAGTTTTCAGTGTAATTAGCTGAAGAATCCGCTTGCAAAGATCGGTTAATACCTAGCTTTTGTTGGTTTAACCATTTTGCATCAAAGAGCTTCGCCTCTGTACCCACGAAGTAGTCTCGGGTGTTCTTTGTTACCAGATCTGGAAAACCGTCACGTTGGATGGCTCCAATTCTGGAGCATGAACCCTTAATAAGGGAGGCTCTTTTCAAGTTCTGCTTCAACAATGCCGCCCGAGCCTTTCTTCAACATGCGTTTTGGGGTGTAGTTCTTTGCCAAATTGTCAGAAGACATGCCACCCAGAAAATTGATCGGCCAGGGGTCACAAAGGGGTGGTGTTTGGTCCCTAAGTGAGTGGAGTAGCTGGGCACCCCTAACCTCCAAGTTCGGCACCCCTTTGTGATTCCTGGAGGTTCCTATTTCATTCTATCATAATCTATCATATCTCATCATGTATCTCTTTTTTGGGGGGCATAAATAAACATGGAAGGGAAAGGTTGCTCCCAAAACCAAATCTCGGGTGTCCCCCAGCATGAAATAGATCCATACTGCCATTCACGTTTAGCATCAACACTTCTACAATGGACATCCATAGACCATAGAGTTCATCGTCAGCCATAGAGAAATTGCTGAAAAGATTATACCTACAAAATGTATAATCATACACAAACATCACAAACCAAACAAATGGAAACAACATGACAATGACAACCGTCATTGGTCATGAGGACGAGAGTCGATGCACCAACCGAAAGATATGCACCAAACGCTGCAGCGATGTTTGCCTTTTGGCAGTTTTTTGTTGACAAGGTCAAAATGTTGAACAAGGTCGAAAAAACCAGGTACCTGGAGTCTCAAAGCACCTCGAAACATTTGTACAAGGACCTGTTTTTATAGGGTCGTGTCCTATTTTTTAAGGTACTTTGGAGGGCCTATAGGTATACCCTATGGATCCACTGCCACCCTCCTGTAGAAGGTGATGTTTTCGACACTGTTACTTGTATGTAGGTGGAAGGTGGCAGCGGATCCTTAGCAAATCACTATCGGGTTGTTCTACCGATCCTCAGGTAGCTGGTGTTGACCTGTGAGTTCGTACCTCGGAACACACGCCAAAAGAAGCGATACCTTTCTATTTGCTTGTCATGTTCTATGGTTTCTATCGAACCAGAATGACCTCGGACCAACCACCCGTCTTTCCTCGAATGGCCAGCGATGGATGCCCGGTCCGGTCCCCTCTCCTCAGGTCGCCGAGCTCATGGAGGACTACCGGTCCCGCCGGCCATGTTCGAAGCCGGCGGTGCGGGACGATCAAGGAAGACCGGTTGGAAAAGAGATAAGTAACACTGCTGTCCACAATAGGAAGTCCGAAAAAACAAAAAAAGTAGAACATGATATATACAGAGAAATTACAATTTTCTAGGGCTCCAGTCCCTCCTCAGGTTCGGCATGGCATGGCCCCTCCTGGCACGCACGCACCCCAGTACCAGCTTCTCCTCAGGTTCGGTACGGAAACGGAGCCAGGGGAATCATCATCACCAAAGATGCTGGTTGCAGGTTGGTCTCAGTGACCGCCTGCCAGCGCAAGACGACCGACACATCCATCGCCTGGTGACGCTGACGGGTGTAGAATGGCGCTGCACCTGGGGTGCCATGCGGGAGCACCCAGGAAGTACGTGGATCACTTGCTTTTCATGATGGAAAAATCAGGCATTGGGTACACCCTACTCAAAACAAGCAGGTGGAAAAGGCTAAGTGTTTTACAAGTATGTTCCCAGCGAAATTGTACTGTTCGGGGGTAGCTTTGAAAGTCCATTCCATGGTGGAATTACATCTAACTCATGAATGACCCAAGTGTCGGTGACTATTGCCCACGGTCCACTGTGAGACAGTTCGATCTCACCAACAACATGTAAAATAAGTGTATACCTGGAGTCTCAAAGTACCTCAGAAAATTGATACATTATATAATGGTGTCATGTCCCGTTTTCTAAGGTACTTGAAGTCGGGTGCAGCTAAAACAATTTCATGCACAACAACCGTTCTCAAGCCGGCCTTCTGGGCGTACCTCTCCCAATTACTGGATACATCAGGTGTGCTTTTGTCCACCCCCAGACCATCCATGGGACTGGAGTAGTTTCCTACATTAGGGTCATCCATGAGGTAAATGTATATACTGTAACTCTTCCACACATGGATGGTCTGGGACCGCATCTTAAGATCTGCTGGGTGGTTTTGCTCCGGATCGTTCGGAGCGGTGCAGAGCCGCGCAGAACTCGCCATGCCAGGCCCTGGGTCCTTCGCATGGTTCCACACTTGGAGGCCGCAAACGGCGTCGGCGTGCCGGGATCTGGAGAGGTGATTGGACCCGCCGAAGGAGAAAAACGTCTCGAATGAATGAAACTCCAATGAATTAATCTAGACCAGGAGTCACATGTTAGAGTGGTTTTGTTCGTCCCATCCAGGGGCTGCGGCCGTTCAGAACCGGCACCCCTTTTCAACTCCCGGGAGGTATAATACAGTAGATTGAACGCCAGGTGTTCAGACCTTAGAGCAAGAGACTTGTTCTTCACTTGTTTTTTCAGCGAAATTGCAAGCAAACATCAATTCAAAGAAACCTGTAGAAAGAATGCTGAGGCATTGCTGAAGCAAAAGGAAGGATATATTTGGAAGGATTCGTCATGTCACCTCTATTTCGGGGAGATCTGACATGACCAAGTTCCCTGAAAAGCCACCCGACCTGCCGGGAGCTGAAGTCTTGCAGATCAAAGGTCACTGACATGCCTGAAAAGACAACATGGCCAGCAGATCAACTGTTCCTCCTAAAACTGGGCCTTTGCTTAAAACATGTTTTCAGTTCTGCCCCCGAAATCAGGAGCTTGACAACGAGACGGTCATGGAAGTGGAAAGGCAGGCGGACGCCTGACTGGTGGGCGGGTCCCATGGCTTGGAGTTTTTTGAGGCGAAGATCTGCGCATCAAAGGTGCCAAGGCAAGAAGACATACACCATACGGATCCCATACGGGAGTGTTTGGGACACGAAGGCGCCGGTGGGCCTCAGGTACCTGGAACGGACTTGAAGTGCCAGATGGGCCCGAGGTGCGAAACGTTCGTACCTCATCCTCAGGTATTTGGAGCCCCAAGGGGGGGGTGATCGAGCCTATCCGCCCGCCCTGTGCAAATCATTGACTTACCAGGAAAAATCGCAAGTGATCTGTGGTCCGCTCAAATGTTTCCCAGAGGATCCTTGTAATATTGGCAAGCGCCTGTGGCCACCGCCAGGCGTTCACCCGAGCCTTGGGTGAGCGGCTTTGCCGGCATGGGGCGAGCAGTGGCCAGGTTTGCTGCGAGCTGGGTGGGAGGAGATGTGGGTCATGTGGGTGTGTATGTTCATGGAGACACCCAACGAACTAGGCGTTTAATGAATTTTCCTTCTTCCTGGGTTTTGGAAGTACAATCAGGTTCTGGAGCAAGGCATGGGTTTGTTCCAGACCCAGATCCTGGAGGATAGGTCGACGATACACATGCAATTTCTCTCGTGATAGTTTGAATTATTCTATATATTTTGTTGATCATGGCAATACAATACGCTGGACCGCTGCTAGAGTGGGTTTTCGCTGCTGTTCCCTATTGCATACAGATAAGCTAGAGGATCAGATGTAGATTAGCCCAGATTTTTTATATAAACATCTATAATTAGTCTGATATCTACTGTGATCTACTGTTATCTACTGTACATGCCTGGATTTTGCCAACTCTGCAAAAGGTCTTTCTATTGGCTGGTTTTATAGATCGAAAAGGCCCACATGTTCGACCCGACTCGACAGGACATGACCCGAAAAGAATCACAAGTAACAGCTACCTAGGCCTCCTAAGGGGTGTCTAATAATGGTTCCTTAGAGGTTATGGGGTGTCCATTAACCACCCCAAAGCGGGGGCATTGGTATAGAGCTGTTCAGTATCACGCAGGGGGGTCGACTCCCGGAAGGTGAGCGAACTGAGCTCTCCTCGTGCTTGCTCGACCCGGTCGCGTGTTTGCTCGACCGTTCGGTCGAACCACCAGGTTTAAAAAAAGGGCCTGAATCTCGAAGAACTCATTGGGTTGACTAGGGACCCTAGGCCTCCAAGTACCTGCTGAGAAGGTCTTTGGGGTGGGTGCCAGGAGGGTCTAAGTACCTTCTGAGGAGGTACTTGGAGGTGTAGGGGGATTTTACACCAAAAAACACAGATCAACCATGGTGAGACGTTGGGCGGTAGGGCGAAATCCTCGACGACGGAGGACCAGTTTTCCGTGCCGTGCCCAGACACGACTAATGGGACTGGCAGAATGCCATTGATCCCTTTTCAACCAGCCCAATTGATCTGCAAACATGCATCATATGCCATAAATGGAGTGTTTATGGTGGTGTTTTTGTTGGGTCACGTCGGCGATCACTTCGCGCAGCGATTTCCCAGCTTCATGCGTTGCATGCGAAACCGTCGGTGCGAAGAGCATAATAAATACTAATATACCTCAAAAGGATCCCAACTCTCAGCTACTTGCAGATATTCAAGATCATGCAGGGTATACCCTGCACATCGATAACCAAATGGTGTGGTGCCATGGTCTGAGAGGGAGGTCTTCACTGAAGCATTTGGTTGAAGAAAGAACATGAAAGAACGGCAGATTCACTTTGACATACTTGTTTGACCATTCCATGTTCTTTGACTTTGCACTTGCTGATGTGAACAGTCACGACAAGTCTAGCCAGGAGAGTCCAGCGAGATAAGATCAAGGCAGGTCTCAAGTTTGAAGTAAGTCCAGCGAGAGATCGAACATTGGATGTAGTGACTCTCTTATATCCGCACGACCGAAGCTCCCACGCTGAAGCCCTGGCGCCGGAGCGACCGAGCCGACGATGAAGCATCGCTTTGACCTCTATGTGAGATACACCGTTGCTTGGAAAGGCAGCTGAACATCTAGGGCTCCACATCCTCAGTAGTTAGATCCTCAAAAAACCATCCCACCTTCCTTTCACGGAGGTAGTCGGTGGAGTCCCTAGGAATGATTCACAAAGCAAATCACACCAAACAGAGATTAGTAAGTGTCCACCGTACCACCCAGTTTGGTGTTGTTTGTGTTCACCCCACCCAAAAGAATAACCCTGGCGCTGGCTGGTGGAGCATGTCGACATGCCTTATGATCTTGGCCGAGACGAGATCTCCCAAGGTTGAAATTGACTTGCCCAATCCCATCAATACGCTGGAAGGTCTTAACGGTGCCTGTGGCGAACGGGTGCAGAGATCAGCAGATTGGGAGTCGGAGGGAGCACATCGGAGATGGGAGAACTTGGCACCAACCAAACAACTATATATGTGGCTTCTCAAAGTACCTCAGAAATGGTTACAATATATATATATATACACACACACCCTATTTATACCTAGCTATAGTTATAGGGTCATGTCCTATTTTCATCTATTGTCTAAGGTACTTTGGAGGGTCCAGGTCGTCCTCCTGGAGTAGACAGAAAATGGTGGAAATCCCAAACAAATGGAACACTGACCATGTTTGGATTGGTTCATACACTCTAGGATGGATATACATTGAGCCGTTTCAACACGTTTTGTCACTTGAGCTGAGCACCCATGCATACTCTACTACTCCCTGTTTGAGAGATCATGTTCCACATGCAGCAACAGCAATATCTTCATGAGTGTTTCTTTTGGGATTTTGAGGAAGCATTACTTGGTTTGTTTTGGCGTGCTTCGATTCAAGATGAGGACACCAGTTAGTGTAACTTGCTGTGATTGCTTTCAAAGCGGAACATGTAAACTAAACATCACGGGTTGGGGGCCTTCATATATCACACACAGCTATTCCCAAATCTGTGCATTTTGCAGCTCTTCACTTTGTGTTCCAAAGTGTCGCTTCCAATAGTTTGCTGCTCTCCAGGAGTTCTGCAGCATCCTTTGATCCTGATTCCCAAGCCCCAATACGTGGCTTCACACCGTATTTCAAACTCGTGTTCCTACGCAGGAAAAGTGAATACCTTTTTGTGGGGATTGTGGACACAAACTACATATGAACGGAACATTTGCTTCTGACCAGCTCGGGAGTCAGACGAGGCACTTGTCCACCATCTTCCAAGGAAGGCGGTTCTTACTTTGTGGAGCCGTTCAACGTACACTCTTGATTAATAACTCCCCCCATATGAAAAGCTTGTTCAATTCAAATGGGGGAGTTGTTAATCAAGAGACATCAATTAGGTGTGGCGAATCGCGAGTTCTTCTACATCCTCCGTGAGATGACGAAGCTGAAGATCTTTGGCTGTGGTGCTGCTCCCTCTGGGGGCTGGAGTGGACTCTTGGTCATTCTTGGTCGACGCGTTGGCTGGGCCCCGGACACCTAGGTGTCCGGGAGAAAGGACGGACCACACCCTGAACATCGGAAAAGGCCCCTGACTGAGTGAAAGACCTGCGAGTGTTTCTAGGATTCCAACCCCCATTGAATTAAGTGATTTTGCAACCTTAGGTACCTTAAGTACCTTAGTGTTTCCAGGTGGTACATGGTGGAGTATGTGGACATGGTGGTACCCTCAAGGCATGAATTAAGTGATGTTGCTTGAGCTTAGTTTCAAGATTTAGACTACAACCGGTCAATAGGTCGACCTCCGAGATAAATGCTCGAAAGGAAGCTGGGACAGGCGCCACTTAGGCTCAGTGTTTTGACGTTGTCCAAACCGGCACCACTGAGGACACATCATCTCGCAGCGACTTGGATTTACACGTGTGAAAAGCGCGGCTGCGGCTGCGAACAGCCTTGCTTCATCGTGGGCCACATTTTCAGGGTGGCCCCCAGGTTTGTCCCAGAACATCCACTCACTGGATGTGACTTCCTGGATGTGACTCCATTCACTTTGAACATCGTTGAACGAGTGGACAAAACATCAGCACCATAATCAATTAGGGATCACAAAGAGATTGTGATGGAAGTTCCCACAACACAGAGATGTTCCCACCAGATAGTGGCTGCTTCCGTGGAACACTCCTAATTTGCTTGAGACTTGAAACAAACTTGGAGCCATACCAATACCTTTAAGTACTCTATAAAGCTCTATAACTATTAATATTAGGTTGTTTTTGATCTATACATATTAACTAATACATATTTATAGGCTCTTTGTTCCAGTCCAGGCATATCACAATTTCCCCCTGTTCACCCGCAAAACATCATGAACCTAAACATCGCTTCACTCGGCGCTCCGAAAACGGCGAGATCCGGGACAGTCTTTCCCCCCGCCTGCGCGTCGCGGCGGGTCACGGCCGCCGCACGACGAGGCTGCGCAGCGACCAGGATCTTCAGCAGTATTTGTCGAGCAATCTTCCAGCCGAGGGCCCCGTCTACGAGCGGCTGGGTTTCATGCGCGAAGCACAAATGCGTGCGATCGGCGCTTCGATGACCTGGGTGGGGTGCGAGTGTTGGGGTGGGTCTTGAGGTGTTGGGGGGTTCTAATGAACTTCCGATACCCTTTGAGGATCTGGTTTACCATGGTTTACGTACATATATATATGTACATGGTCATATCTATACATTATGACATTGACCTGTGAATTCACTGGGATGTAGGTGATTTCTTTGTTTGGTCTGATCGAGTCTTTGGACCGCCCTAGACGCCCCCCCCATGATGTTCATTGATGTTCAATCATCACAAGATCTTGCCAGAGATCGTGTGGCAGTTGGAAAAGAGATGCCACGCACAATCCACCTGTACGCGTTTGTGTGTGTTTTCTTTTTTTTTTCAAAGTATACCTGCTTGCAAGGACCAGGGCATGTCTTTTGTCCAGAAAAGGACGTTTAGGGCCATGTCCTATTTGCGGGGTACTTGAAGTCGGGCCCGGCAGATAGAGAGCGGAAGGTTTTACGGGTAACTCCTGAAGCAGGCGAATAGAACGACAGGAAGGTCCACGTATCCTACATTGTTAGGTCCTAATCGATGCATATCTCCCCACACTTGGTCAGATGGCCCATCATCTCCACGATTCCTTGTTCAGTCTCGCGGATGATGTGCGTTGGATCCTTGTTGGACCGAGGTTGCACTTACCTGACGGCACGGATGCAGGCCAAACGCTCCGATCGCCCGCCAGCTGGGCAGATCTGGGCAGCTCTGGGCAGCTCTGGGCAGCTGGATGTTGCAGCATGTCAGGGCCGGGGAGACAAGGAGACAAGTATGGTACAAGGAGACAAGATATGACAAGATGTTGTGTGTTTACCATATTATACAGCTTAGGACTCCACCATACAGGTGATGTCGCATGCCTGTGAGCGCCGAGGTCACGAACGGTAGAAACCTGTTGGCACCGCCCTCGAAACAGGGAATCACCTCGAGCCTAGAGCCATTGAAGGAACCCCAAGCTTGGAGTTTTCCCATGTCATCCTTCGATCCCATTGATTTCTCCAATGTGTATTGCTTGATAGGTGCATGGGTGTTTCTTCCAGTCTAGACCATCGACCATTTCTTGACCATTTGTTCGATGTCCCACGTCTCATTTCGCTTAGCACGAAGCACCAAGCGGTCGACCGATCTCCCCCGGTAACGAGTAACCACGCCGGTCGTAACGACCGTCCCTAGCTGCCCTGGAACCTACTAGCTGTGCGGCCGCGCCAGGCGCGTGGTATCAGAACAATATCTCCAGCTATCAGAATCACATCCAGAACCTTCAGGACCCGCTGAAGAGTCGTCGTCTTTTGGGAGCCGAGAACCGAGAAGGAGCGAACCGATCAGGTGCCGAAAGCCTCAGTCAGTGCAAACATGCCCGACACCGTGTCGGTATCGGCCCAAACAAATACACGTCAGTACCGCGTCGGTCGCGCTTCAGATATCGGTTGGTTTTAGCTCTTAAGTGTTGCTCTTCAGAGACATGTAAAATTGTCATAAACAAATCTGCCATGTTTATGATTCTAAACATATCAGGGTCATCCTGTTTGGGTGTCCAATAGACTATACCCTACCTTACTTACAGGCCTCCAGACAGGGCACCCATTGGAAGTGCTAGGTACATAGTGTCAGAACATAGACAATCCAAACGCGCTTCTGGCTGAAAAAGTTGAGCATGTTCAGTTGATTTTGCTGATGATGTGACGTGTAAGTCGACTTGTATAGTAGACTGAGTTAAGTCGAAGCGAAGTAGGACTTAGCTAAGTCCAAGTTAAGTGAAGCCTTAAACGTGACTTATCAGTCAACCCTTGTAATAGCATAGTGTTAGCTAGCTGACCTCCATGCAAGTGAGGTACGAGGCTCGGAGGTTCGTGAACCGCCGATGTTGCGTCGTTTTCGCCGCAAAAAACAGGCTGGTCCGGTCTTCGAACAGCCTTCGGACACACCCGGCACCCCCACGGCTCATTCGTCGCGAACGGACCTGACTGACCTGGTCCCCCGTCGACGTGACGTCAGTGGACGAAGGTGTCTCGGGGCGCAGTACTGACACCGGAACGGGTGGTGAGAAGGGTCCGGACCTTCTCACCAATCCCGTTTTGAGGGACTGGGAGTCGGCCTGTGTTCGCGTCTGGGTATGGGACGACTGGGGCCCCAGTTTTTGAGGTATGAGTTCGGGTCGACTCCAGGCTTTGTTGATATGTTTTGCAATGTTTTGCATCTCTGCAAAGTTATGAACCCTAGGGCTCCAACTACCTCCTGAGAAGACGCTTGAGGTGAGTTTGGGGCATCTAACCACCTTCTAAGGAATCTAAACACAACTGAGCCACGTTTTAAACCTCAGTTGTCATGTCAAGTAAGGAGATCCTTGTAAGGACCCGTGGCGTAAGCAAAACACTAGTGGGCGTAAGCCCGCGTAAGCAATTTTAGCCAATGTTGTTGGCGTAAGAGATTTTTGGTGATTTGTGAAATGGCAGTTTTGGACAAAGAACCTTTTATATTCCAAGCTTACAGCTTAACATACATCCATGGGATCACTGTCAGGTTGCTGGATATTTGTTTCCTCAAGTGGCGGCAAGCTCCATGCTGCAGGTTGAATGTGATTCTGATGATTCTGCAAGATTGAATTGCATGGAAAACGAAATCATGATAAAGCCCGCAATGAAAAGGATTGTCCACCAAGAAAAGGAGTTTTAACAACTGCACTGTACTATCGGATGGAAACAGCAACACTGTAATGTATGTGCCCATAGTGTCATACCTTTTTCAAGACCTTCACCTCCGAACTTTGTTTCCGGGTTGGAAGCCAAAATCCGCGTAAGGTCCGCGTAAGCGGCGCGTAAGCCAAAGCTGCTTTTGCCAGTAGTTGCCCATGTCTCCCAAACACAAATCATTTTCGCAACTTGGTGCAGAGCGCCAGGGACTTGTCGCAAAGACCGTCTCGGACATTTTGGAGCAACATTGCCCTTCTCTGGATGAAGCACACCTCTTGCTGAACAAGGCTTTCTCTAGATGTCAATCTGTCCTTCCTGGCCTGTCCGCTATCAGTGGTGCCCAGTCTGTCTGTCATGCCCACGCGCTCAGCAGAGGTGCTGCCAAGAAGCGTCGTCAACTTCGTCATCTGCGGGCTTCTTCTGTTGCTGCGTCTTCATCGGCTTCATCTTCTTCGTCCACGTCATCATCTTCTACTGCTTGATGCTGCCTAGAAACGCTGCGGTTCCTGCAGGTAAAAGTTGCTGCGCGTAAGCTGGGGCTGTGGCCGGGTACTAAAAATGTCCAGCGTAAGGTCTGCGTAAGCCGGTTTATTCCGCGTAAGCAAAACTGTGCGCGCGTAAGCAAAACGTAAGATGCGGCGTAAGCGTTGCCTTGTTTGGTGCCGGGATATAAGACGTTTACAACACAGCTCAACTGTTAGCCGTCCCCGAAACAGGGGGACCTGTTCACTTGCAGTGCCTACCTGTATGCTTTACTTCCTGCAAAGGCAACTCATTGCACAACCAAAGATGCTCCAAATCGATCCCAATCGCTCAACCCCCCCTCTCGCTGCCCGTTTGCTCCGTGAGCAATCATGAAAAAAGAACACCGCACAGGACCAAGTGAATTCGTTGAGACAACAAGGGCAAGGTCTCCAACAAGGCGCTTTTGCGGGACGGGCTGCAGTGGTCCAGCAAATCACTCTTGGAGCTGGTTGCCTTGCGGTGGTTTTGGAAGCTGGAGACCATAGAAGCAAGTGATCATACACTTGGAGGAAGTTTGAAAGTCATTCACCCGCTTTTTCAGGGCCTGAGTCTATGGGGTATATATATATATAGGCGGAGGTGGGATGGGCTCCTACCCGAGTCAGCCCACTTCCTCCTTTCCGAACTTCGGTCCCTGTGGGACCCTGCCAGTCAGCCCAGACACGACTGTCTGAGACCCGCCAGGACGGGCCAGTTGACCTGGGGTCCAGACCATGTTCATTAACTCTAAAGCCGTTCTACCTGGTACACTCCGGAGACTCCGAACTGCGGCGCTCTATCAAATGCACTGGTCTGCCGCTATCCGAACTCCAGGTCGAAGCCATCCGATCCGAACTCCAGGCTTCATGCTGTTGCAACAAGTGGCCCCTGTCCAGGATGACCAGGCCACTGGCACCGTCCTTCCGGCTGGGCGCGGTCGCCGGGCTGGTCGCACAGCACTGTGCGGCTCCGGGTCTTGTAGACCCGCAACAGGTCACCTGGCTCATTACCCATACACTCCATGGGACTGCCAATATGCCTTTACATTGACCCCCCATGACCCCCCCCCAAACCACCCCAATGTATGGCTTACGTCGCACGCACGCGAACGCGAACGCGAACGCGAACGCAGCGTGGAAGTAGCGTGGAAGTAGCGACTCCTGCGGTCGCCCGTTCGCTCAGCTCCGTCCTGCAGGTCTACAGTATCGTGCAGAAGTACGGCCAGGGGGTGAATCCTGCCGTGACGGCCATGACCGGAAACCCGGACGACCTCTTTTCGAACCAGCAAGGCGGAGCACCGGAGCAGCGGAGCAGCGGTGGTCGACGTGATCCGGCCGTGACCGTGAGTTGGTGGAACACCGACGAGTTGGAGAGGAGTTTAAGTGGGACCAGTGAAGTGGTTGCTAAAAGGTGGTTTTACTTGTTTATAGAAGAGCCGAGAAGGTGCATAGACCATCTCCTCAGGTTCGGTGGGGGCTGATCCCCCTGGTAAGCACCCAACCATCTTTTCAGGAGGCAGTTGGAGCACTAGGGTGAAAAACGGGTGCATTCAGTGCATTCTGAACAAAATAAGTTTGATACTCTTCTTGAAACACTATGTCACTATGAAATATCATGAAATATTGATACCGACTGCCAACGCCTCAACTGATACAACGACAAGGTCTACAATTCTTTTTGGCCACGGAAGCAGCGTTCACAGAGAAGCTGTGGGCATAGTTTCTTTTGCTATGAATCTATAATGCTGTTGCAAGAATGCCTCCTGACTTCTTCGTAGACGTTTTTTTGGTGCAAAGTACACCACCAGGGTTGACTATATAACATAATGACAACTATAGTGACAACTATAAGTATATATTTCACTGAGTGACTGAAGGATATGTGGACCCTTGGCCCAAAAAGCAACATCCAGCAACCATTGCCGTGCTTAGGGCTACGAACATGAACTTGTCATCCCCCCCCAAACTGTGCACACTCTGCAAAGAGATGAACAGACTCTTGAAAAACACCACAACGGGCCCTGCTGTAGAGCCCACAAGTCTTCCCCGTCCTTTGCTGTCCCCAACCTTCCCAGCCTTTCTCGTTTGTGTCCTTCCGCGTCCTACGCCGCGTTGCCAGGCATTCGGGTGCTCTCCTATTGGGGCTCGGAACCTGCGCGGATGCAAGACGTCTACCAGACGGGTGGCTTCCCGCCCGTGATCCAAGCCATGCAGCACTTTCAGGAGAGGGGAGCTCAGGAGAGATCAGGAGAGCGTGGCGGAAGAGCCTTCTGGAAGAAGTATGGGTTGGAACACATTAATACTGCGGTGTTTTTTATGGCGCCATTGTTTTTCCAACAGTGAGTTTGGTATCATAGACGTATCGTGTTCTGATGTGTCCCTGCTCGGAATTGACATCATCACCCGTGGGTTCAATCAGCCGTCAACCCTCCTGAAAGGATCTCAACACATAGTTTCAGGACCAGGCTTTGCTGGGTCAGACTGGACTTGTAGGCTACATGATCAACCAAACCCAGCCACCACTCCAACAACGTGTTGTTTATTGTTTTTGTAATGACTCGTCGGTCGCCCAACTCGTCAGGACTTGGTCGAACGAAAAGAGGACATGACCGGAACAAGATCGCCAGGTATAGGGGATGACTGCACCCAGTTGCTGAGGTATGAACAGGTCACTGAAGAGACTCCAGGTACACTAGGCAATAAAAATCGGTAGAGCACCCATTTGTTGAGGTACGAACAGAGACTCCTTGGCAGATTGATCTTGAAACAACCAAGCCTCTTTGTCCTTTTTAAATGTAGTTGAATGCGTTAAGAACAAGAACAAGAGGCAGGGCCGCACCTTTCACAGCAGGATGATCCTGGTGTTGGTCGATATGGCGTCCAGTTTCTCTCGCATGCGGCCAATCAAAGCTCGCAATATATTCATGAACTCCATCATCTTGGAACTGTTCCAATTGTCATCCAGCAAATGAACCAGTTCCCACAGGATGTCGCTGAGCATGATTAGTTTCATGCGTCCGACGGGATGTCCTCGGTGAGCGAATGAGCGAACACATAGTCCTGCCGCACCGAACGCCACGCCACCTATGGCCCTTGAAAGCGACCTGAACTCATCGTTTGATTCGACAAGAGGACCACGGGAACTCCAAGGAAGCCGTTTGGTGCGAACCTGAAGGAGGAAGGCTGTTCTAAGAGGTTGGAGGTAAGCCGTTTTGGGGGGCCCTTCCATGAGTTTTGGGGATGCCTTTGGGAGGATACCATGTTGGGCACCGGTCCACTGGACGAACTGAAGGTACTGCGGACTGCTCCATGACCGCCAAAGCATACTGCGGGCTGAGCAAAGTTTGGTATGTCCTATGTGAACAACTCAGCTAAACATATGTGTTTCGCTTCCGGTCAGTGAAGGACATGTGCGACTTCCGTTGAACCTTCTGGTTCAAGGGCACCCTTCAGCCATTGGCCTTTGCAGGCCACCGGTTCGGCTACTGTGCGCACTTGCCGCCATAGCTGTGGCACTTGAGGCCTTGACTGGCCGTGAAGAGCAGACGCCCGTGGACGGGCCCTGGTGTGCGGAAAAGAACCGCTACCTGAGCGAGTGGCCTTTGCTTTGGTTGGAAACCCCTTTCACCTTCAAAGGTCACACGGCTACCGACATTGGTAGCGGAGCTCTGGCGATTGCCATCTCCTGGGACCTTGGAAAGTCACTACTTCATTGAGCCCCTCCTCGTGAACTTCCCTGGCGGCGGCGGCTGGGCACCTCCCTTCGACCTCGAGCTCTACTCGCGGAGCTGGGCTACATCCTTGACTCCTTGACGGAGATCCTCGATGGCAACCATCTCGGCCAAAGAGGTGGTGGTCACCTGGGACGGAGATCCCACCACCTGGGGCGACTACGCCCGAAAGGTCCGCTTGCAATGGGAGAAGACACCGGACCGAAAGAAGAAATACCTGGCACCTGACTTAGCATCCAGGTTGACTGGCCGTGCATGGTCGGTCACCCCTGACCTGGAACACTCCAAGCTGAGCAAGAAGAACGGCACCAAGTATCTCCTGAAGTTCTTGCAAAGCCGGCTATGCCGGACAGCGGTCCCTGACGCTGGAGCTCGCTTGGAGGACCTGTTGATCAGGTTGAGAAGACCATTGGGAATGCCGATGAGCCAATGGTCATCCTATGTCCTGGAGGCCTACCGCAAGGTGCAAAGGGCATTGGTCAGGGCTCGACAGCAGAAGAAAACTCCTGTGACAACACTGGGAACTCCTGTGACTGGGAGCGCCATGTCAGAACCTCAGGCTGAACCACCAAGCCGACCACCTACTTCGCCCTCATCGCCTACGACCAGAGCAGCAGCAGCAGTCTCTCAGGCATCACCCTCATCGCCTACCGGACGAGCACCAGATCACCGACCTCAAGATGAAACCGGAGATGATGGTGCCGAGCAAACTTCACCTGAGGATCCTCCTGACGATCATTGGCACCAAGATGATGGCTGGACAGCTGAAGAATGGCGACAATGGCGACGGGAACGACGCCATTGGGAGGACTCTGACAATGACACCTCCTCACCTGGAGAAGATCTTCCTTGGGATGAACTGGAAGTTGAGGACATCCAAGTCCTACCTGATGAAGTCCTTGGCTGGCTACTGCTACGACGAGCTAACTTGAGTGCAGCCAGCAGGTTGTCTGTCCAGGCCAGTGTCCAGAACAGCCTCACCTTCCGTGACATCGAGACGGCGCTTCGAGATCAAGAAGAAGAACTCCTACAGGCAGATTCTACAAGACATCCATCGAAGCGACGCACCTACTGGGTGGAAGAGGCTGGCTCCTGGGGTCTTCTGGTGAACCAGGACGAGACCACGATGGATGAACTGACTGCCGAAGTGCATTGGGTTGGTCATCAACTACCTCCTGAAGTATATGATCCTGGACCCATGGAGAACTCTATGGAGGAAGATCCTGAGATCTACTGGACTCGTGAAGGTGATGGTTGGCATGGCTACACCATGGACTGGTCCGGCGAGTGGTATGAAACAGATGGCCATGGAGCCTTCTGGGCCTGCGATGATGGCTACTTCGACGACTTGACCGCCGAGGAGAACAAAGAGCTTGAGGAGGCCTACTCAGTCTATGAGAACAAGGCCAAGACCTTCTTGCAGAGCAGGCAGTTCCAACGAGCAAAAGGGAAGAGCAGAGGCTTCTATCCACCTCACCTGCTCAAGGGCAAGAAGGGCAAAGGAAAATCCAAAGGCAAGAAAGGTAAAGGGCGCTCACCTATGTCCTCGTCTTCACCAAGCAGTTCCTTGCCTGCCACCTTCATGGCCAATGAGACAGTGCTGTCAGCTGAGGCAACTTCGACCGGATGCTTCATCTGCGGGGACAAGTCACATGGTTTCCGCAATTGCCCGAAGCGCAGCACCAGCAGCTCACCTACTACTGGAAAAGGTTTTCGCAAAGGAACCTTTTGGGTGGAGGCCATGACCCCAAGCCCGCTGGACCTCGACTTCATTGGCATGGCCACGAATGAAGTGATCACTGGTGACACATCGGGCTATGGCGTCCTGGACCTGGGAGCCACTGAGACGGTTGGATCCCTTGAGGCCCTGGAGAAGTTGATGTGGCAGCGACATCAAGCTCAAGGATGGGAAGAAGGCATCAAAGTCTTCACCGGCCCGAATGCTGTCAAACCTTTCCGCTTTGGAAATGGTGGCATCAAGTACAGCGAATCCTTTGTGCTGGTACCTCAGAAGCTCGGTGAGAACAGCGTGATGCTTGGCATGTTCACCCTCGACGCCGAGAAGGTGCCGATCCTAATTGGCATGCGCACTTTGGATCGCCTTGGCGCGGTGATCGATGTGAGCGGCCGGTGGATGGTTTTGTCCAATGTGGCACCTGACCTCAAGTTCCCACTTGGAAAGAGCAAGGCGGGACATCTTCTTGTTGACCTTCGCAATGACTGGCTCACCATGGGCCAGCCTTTGGAGCAACATGCACCACGACCTCGTGCGGCATATAAGGTGAGCAGTCCTCTGTGCGCAGTCTTTCCCATGGACCATGAAGATGTCACTCCTCAGGCCTCCCACGACATGTTGGACCACCTGCACCCAGAGCTTTGCATGAATTTTGAGTCTCCACACACCCTTGAACAAGCTCTTGTGGTTGAGAAGTGCAGTGAGGCAGAAGGTCTTGAGTCAGGTGAAGATCTTGAAGCTGCTTACATGCTTGATCATCATGATCACCTCCGACGCCCTTTGGCACAAGCTGATCAAGGGATGCGGGATGACATCCTGACCGCCCTCGTGAACGACGCCTCACGAGCCCATGGCGCCCAAGGCGAAGGAGAAGAAGAAGCCTGTGGCACCAGCTTCCGAGCGGTTCGACTACAGCCGCACACAGGGGATCAACAAGGACGATCCCCGGGCCACGGGACCTCCATGCCATGGAGAACACACTCCTGCGATGCCAGGACGCGGCTCGAACACAGGCAGCAACGCCCATGCAACATGGGTGGGATGCTCGGAGTGTGGGATTCGCCTGAGCTACACGCCGGCCTTCGGCGCACACGGCCTGACTCGACAAGCAGGACCACTTGTGGCCGATACGACGACCCAGTTGGTGGAGAAGAAGCCGGACAAGGGCAGCATCGAGTTGAAGGACAAGAAGATAGGCTTGGATGCGGCCGAAAGATCCCTGGAGAAACGTATGGAGACCATCCGCAAGCAGAAGGAGCAATGGTTGTCAACCCAGCAGCGCAAGGACAAGTTCGCGGCCGAGACAACCAAGGTCTCCCCAGGGAAATCTTCGCAGGGCCAAAGCCCGGAACGCCCTATGACGCCTTCACCACCTACGGCAGGGTATGCTCAGGACCACACAATGGCCCTCACCGGCAGCAAGAAGAGTGCGAGGCTACCGGAGAAGTCCGCGGAGGAGTACGAGATCGCCACCCAGCCGGAGAACGAAGAGGAGGAGGAATGGAGTCGAGTGACACCGGTGAGCCCCAGTTCCACGTGAAGAAGATCGTCCACGCAGCTCCCGGACTCCAAGGATCTCATGTTTCACCAGCCGGAGGAACTACCTCTTTGAAGAGTTCCTCACCAAGTTTTGCATGCGCTATGAACAGTTTTTCATCATCTACCGCACCAACAGAGCCTGCCATGAAGGACCCCAACCTGCCGAAGATCAAGTCCAAGGAGACGATGGACGAGTACTACCTGGGGATTCCAATGGGCAACAGTTTCACCAACTCTGGCATTTTGCCAACTCCAGGCATTTTGCCTGATGCTTCAGCCTGCAGCAAGAAGCGGAAGAAGAAAGGTCAGCAGCCCCAATCATCTGACAGTGACGACACCGGCCAAGGCCGAAGGCTGACCGAAGACGACACCGCCTTCCTGCTCTCCCTGGCTGAAGAGTATGAACAAGGATGTGAGGACATCATGATGAGCCTGATGGCGGATCAGGTCAAGAAGCCTCCAAAGATCATGGAACTCTGCTGTGAAGAGGACAGTGGACTCACCACCGCATTGGAAGCTCAAGGAGGCCTTGGAATTCGTTGCGGTCTCTTCAACGACTGCGACCTCAACAAGAAGTCTGGCTTCAACAAGGTGATCCAGCTCCTGAAGACCTATAAACCCGACGTGCTATGGGTATCGCTACCTTGTGGGCCAACTTCTGGCATCCAAGAGCTCAACAAGCTGACCGAAGAAGGTCGAGCCAAAGTGGAAAAGAAAGTTCAACGCTCAAAGCGCCTGGCAAGCAGAGCAGTGATCATCATGGAGCTCCAGATCCAGCAAGGCGGCGAAGTCTTTCAAGAATGGCCCAAGTACAACAAGGCTTGGGAGTTTCAGTGCATCCAGAACTTCTGGCACCAACACGGAGGTTTCGAGGCTGTCTTTGATGGTTGTGCCTACGGACTCCGTGCTCCAGAAGGTGGTTTGATGAAGAAGCCCTGGAAAGTGAAGAGCACTTCACAACTGGTGTGGCAGCTTCAGAGGCTATGTCAATGCCAAGAACCTCACGTCCTCTGTGAAGGAGGAACTCGCACACGGCTATCAGCTTTCTATCCCAAGCAGCTGTGCGACAAGATGGCACGCTTGGTGAAGTTCATCCACGAGCACTCTGAGGACCAGATCATGGCTGTTGAGAAGACGCCTGACTATGACCCGGAGTCTGTCCTCAAGAGCACGGACCAAGAGCTGATGCGAGTGGCGACTGACTTGCTGAACCTCCACAAGAAGCTTGGCCACCCAGGACGACAAGTCTTCATCAAGATGCTACGCGACCGTGGCGCTTCCACCATGGTCAAGACGATAGCGGCCAATCTGCACTGCATGGATTGTGAAGAGTCTGCCATTCCACCGGCCCGACGTGCAGTGACCCTGGAGCAAGCCACTGAGCTCTGGGAAGTGATCCAGCTGGACAACATGGAGTTCACCGTGGGCGACGAGACCTTCCACTTCCAGGTGATTGTGGACGAAGCTTCCACCTACGGGGCAGCGAACTTCCTCTTCAAGCACCCCGTCTCTGCCAGCAGGAATCCAACCACACCAGAGATGCTTCAAGCGCTTCACCAAGGATGGATCCAGTACTTTGGCTACCCCAAGTGCATAAAGCTGGATAAAGAAGGTGCTCATAGAGGTCGACAACTGGAAGAATGGGCCGAAGGCCATGGCATTGAGATTGAAGCCATTCCTGCCGAGCACCATGGATCCATCGGCCAAGTTGAGAGATTGATTGGCACCCTGAAGCAAAAGCTCATGGCCCATCTGAGGTCAACCGAGGCTCCACCAGAGATTGCCACATGGGCAATGATTGCGGCTCACAACACCATGAGTAACGTCGGCGGCTACACGCCAATGCAGTGGGTCTTTGGAAGAAATCCCACTGAAGCAGATCGCCTACATGATGGACCAGATCTTCCCTACTGGTCTGGGATGAGCACCGAGGAGAAGATGAAGGACAGGCTGGAACAACGGCTGCAGGCAGAGAACCTCCATCGCAAGTTGACGCTGCAGCACAAGATCAACCAGGCGGCTAACACCCGCATGCAGCCACCGGTGCGCTACCATCCCGGCGACTTGGTCTACTACAAGAGGTACCAACCACCAGCTGACAAGCGGGAGAGATCTCATCATCTCCTGGACATCCCCCGCAGACGTGTTGCACGCTGGTATGGACCTGCTCGCATCCTGGCTCTCGAAACCAAGACCAGCTATGAGGGACAAGTTCGACAACCTCATCTGGTGGCTTGGATCATCGCAAGTGGAAGATTGAAGCGGGTGCACGCGAGCCAGTTGCGCTTTGCTTCGGAGAGAGAAAGAGTGATCGCAGAGAGTCACACGCCGCTGGCAACGCCCTGGACCTTCAACGACCTCACCGACATCATTGCCAAGGGCGAGTTCGATGATGACACCATGACCCAGCGACAACAAGTGAGTGCAGCCCTACGACAACGAACGGGCAATCTGAACCCTGACGAGCTTGCATCGAGGAAGAGACCGGCTTCGCAAGAGAGGCCAAGAGAGGAAGAAGATGCTGAGATCCTCGAGCCATCACCAACGGGGCACTCAGAGCCATCACCAACGGGGCATCATGAACCAGGACGAGGCTCCGACGAACCCTTCTTGGCACCTGAAGCACCACCAGATCCTCGCCATGAGATCCAAGAAGATCTTGATGCACAGAGGCTGATGGCGGACCAGCACCACTTTCCTATGGGCTCTGGAGAACAAGGACCACTATTTCAACACGCACCTTTTCTTCGTGCCCGAGCTCGCCATGAGAGAATGGAGAGGCCGTATCACGTGCAGAGGCAAGATTTCCTTCGCCAGCAGGAGCTGCGAGGCTATGACGATCGGAGAACAAGACATTCCAGCTCCGCGGACACCAAGCCCTCTGGAAGAGCAAGCTGACTATATGGATGAGGAGCTCAACATGGAAGAGCTTTTCTTGGCCGAAGACTTCGAGGACTATGTCTTTGCCGTCACCATCCCCGAGCCCAAGACAGAGGCGGAATGGAGGTCGATTGTCAAAGACCCTTCCAAATTTGTGGCAAAGAAGATGGCCAAGGGAGTTGAAGTCAGCTGGCAGAAGCTCAACGACGTCCAGAAGCAAGCCATGCGAGAAGCGAAGGTCCTAGAGATCAACGACTGGTTGGCTTCTGAAGTTTGCCGTGCAGCCATTGGCAAAGTGCCTGCAGAGAGGCTCATGCGCATGAGGTGGGTCCTCGTGTTCAAGCAAACGGACACACCTGGCATGATCAAGGCAAAAGCCCGCCTCGTGGTTTTGGGATTCACAGATCCCGACGTCGGCCTGGTCTCCGTTAGGTCACCGACTTTGTCAAGGAGGGGGCGACAGTTGATGCTTGCGATGTGCACACACAAGCAATGGGGCTTCCTCAAAGCCGACGCCAAGACCGCCTTCCTGCAGGGTGAGATGGGCCAGCAGCACCGGCAGATCTTTGGACAGCCAGTCCAAGAATTGAAAGAGGCAATGGGCCTGAAGGAAGGCCAAGCCGTCCAGTTCCTCAAGGCTGCCTATGGCCTGACCATCGCTCCTCGTGAGTTCTACTTGTTTGTAGATGAAGTGTTGAAGAAGCTGAACATGGAGCGCCTCACCACTGAACCATGTCTGTGGCGCCTCACGGACTATGACCCTCGGCTGCAGAAACAGGTCACCATTGGCCTAGTTGGAGCCCACGTCGACGACTTCCTCATGACTGGAGATGAAGGGCATCCCAAACGGTCTGAGTTCCTGCAGCGGTTCCATGAAAGCTTGAAATGGTCACCTTGGGAGTGCGCGCCCATGATGCACTGTGGCGTCCACCTGTCACAAAAGAATGATGGTGGATGGATCCTGGACCAGAAAGAGTTCTGCGAGTCCCTCAACCAGGTTCAGGAGGATGGCCACGCTAAGGAGCTCACCGAGTCCGAGCGACGCCAATGCCGAGCTGTGCTTGGATCAGCTCAATGGCGAGTCTACCAGACGGCACCTCATCATGCCGCAAAGCTCAGCCACCTGCAGTCGATCCTGCCGAAGGGTGAGAGAGAGGTCCTCAAAGAGATCAACAAGTTCACCCGCGAGCTCTATGGCCAGAGGAATGTGACCTTGGAGATCCACAACCTCTATGCCGAGAAGGACGAGGATGTGGTGGCAGTGGCATGGTCAGATGCAGCGCTGGCAAATCGCACTGATTTGGGCAGCACCGGCGGCATGCTGATCGGACTGGTCCACAAGGACATGGTGGACAAGGGCCAGAAAGGTCCGGTGAATGTGATCAGCTGGGGCAGTGCAAAGCTTCGTCGAGTATGTCGCAGCAGCTTGGCAGCAGAGACCCAAGCTTTGGCCGAAGCAGAGCAGGAGCTCATGTTCGTCCGCACGATGTGGATGGAGATGATGGGTGAGAAGGTGAACCTCCATCGACCAGGAGACACGGCTCAGAAGATGAGGGGCTTCCTCATCACGGATGCGAAGGCCCTGTACGACTCTTGCCAACAGGGCGATATGCCTTCCTTCTCCTCCAAGGAGAAATACACGGCCCTGGAGATCCTGGCCTTGGTGCAGAACATGAAGCTCCAGGCCACAGAGCTGCGATGGTGCAACTCGGACATGCAGCTGGCCGACGGGCTGACGAAGGTGGGAGCTCAAGATCGCATGCGGCGATTCCTGGAAGAAGGTCAGCAGTGGAATGTGGTCTACGACCCAAAGTTCATTGCCGCAAAGAAGCTCCGGGCCCGGCGGCTGCCTGCGGACGCTCCTGAGACCGAGGAGTTAGGTTTGGGTGAAAGCACGTGGCTGGATCTGATCGGAAGCTCACACACGGGGCATGTGAACAACTCAGCTAAACATATGTGTTTCGCTTCCGGTCAGTGAAGGACATGTGCGACTTCCGTTGAACCTTCTGGTTCAAGGGCACGCTTCAGCCATTGGCCTTTGCAGGCCACCGGTTCGGCTACTGTGCGCACTTGCCGCCATAGCTGTGGCACTTGAGGCCTTGACTGGCCGTGAAGAGCAGACGCCCGTGGACGGGCCCTGGTGTGCGGAAAAGAACCGCTACCTGAGCGAGTGGCCTTTGCTTTGGTTGGAAACCCCTTTCACCTTCAAAGGTCACACGGCTACCGACAGGACTGCTCCATGACCGCCAAAGCATACTGCGGGCTGAGCAAAGTTTGGTATGTCCTATGCCAGCTGTTTTGAATTGTTTGCACTGAGTTGGTGTAATAAGTTCAAAACAACACAGCTGCCACACAGGGCACACACACACACACACACGCAGGCACACCAATATTGAGCCATGCTGTATTTTTTGGGGGTAGCCTCCTTAGAAAGACACACACAGATTCCGATGCTGATCCTGTTCTTGTTTCTTTGGAATATTGTGTATTTTTCTATGGGATCTATGGGTCCCATGGGTGAATCCTCTTTTGAGATATTTGCAAATCCAAGTTTTCCCGGTTTTCCCGGAAGAATATGTCCCGGAAAAACAGGAAATATGTCGATTGACAAATATTGTTTTAAAGTTTTTTCCCGGTTCCTAAAGCTCCAAGTGAATATGTCGATTGGCTCATGGTGATGTTTCTGAGGTTTCTCTGCAGCAATATGGCTGTCAATATCTTTGCTCCATGGCGCCTTGCCAAACCGAGAAGGACCAGAGGATCCAAGTGTGACAAGCAAGACAAACAACGCAGATGTCAACAGAAGAATCAACGGCAGATGATGCTGCAGTGTTTTGCATCAGTCATGCGATGGAGTGAGTCTGTCTTAATATATGTATTGCCTTGAAGGGATGATTTGTGGATTAAAATCGAGGATGTTTATCTGACCGGTATTGCAGCACGTAGCTACCGGCCCTAGCTGCACGTTAGCTACTACCCGACCTATGCAGAAAATCCGGCACACGACCTTTGGACGGAAACCATCGGACGCTTCGGTACACATCGAGTTCTTCACCAGGTCTCGATTGCTCCGGACCGACCCTGGACCGACTCCGTACTGCCGACATGATCCCATAACAAACAACTATACTTGTACCCCACAAGTCCTGGAGTCTCAAAGTACCACAGATTTCTGTGCCGTTCAATCCTATTTGCACTTGAAGTCGGGTCGTGCCGCTGTCCAGGTGACCCCCGGGTCTGGCCCTCAACCACCCCGGGTTTGGCCAAGCCACCGAAGGTCGGTGACCAGAAAGGGTGGAGATCGTGAGACCCAGCGAGGCTCAGATGCCTGACATTCGCGACGAGATTGTCAAGGAGGGTGGCGTTCGCCCGCTGATCTCGGCCATGAACAACTATCCCCAGGAGAGGCTCTTGGAGAAGAGACGATCATTTGTGATGATTATAGGAGAAACATCATGGAACATTGATTTTTGATCAATCATATGAGAATCTAAATGATTCACTGTATTGCCAGCGTTAGTTGCTTGTGTTGCTGATTTTTCAGTGTCTACAAGAATGCTTGTCACCAAGCAACAGGCCGTTTCGCGCCATGCTCAAAAGAGTCCTTTTTCATGCTGGCTCAGGGGGGGGTTCGGGCGCCTCTCGAGGACCCGATGGTCCATCGCTACGCCTTGTCAGCGCTGTCGCCCTTGGCCTACATCGACGACTACGCCTCGCAAATCATTGGTGCCGGAGGCGTCACTGCTGTCAAGAACACCTTGCAGTATCACTCCGCCGACCCGCAAGTGGCCATTAGTGCTTTGGGCATCTTGGCAGACGCGAGCGAAGCGAGGCGTCGGCTTCCGTGGGACTGATTTTCAAAAGGACTGCAAAAGGACTGCCGATCAGGCCAAGGGTGGTTGAAAAGGGGTTCAATTTAGGCATATATATATATATACACATGGACCATTTGAGATACATACATCGTAACTACCTGGATCTGAAAGTACCTCGGAAAATGAGTGCAAGTACATACAAGTACCGGTTTTAACAGGTACAGGGTCATGAATGTCCTATTTTTCTAAGGTACTTTGGAGGGTCCTGGTTTTTGGATTGTCATCGCCGAAGCGCGAGCCTCCGCGTGGAGCTTGAGGCATGATCAATGAATTGGCGAAGCATGAAGGATGTAAGGACTCACTGGTGAATGCTGGAATCTTGGCTTTTAGCGACAAAAAGAGTGACACCAGTACTTCTGGACGATGTCCCGCCTTCCAAAGATCAGTTGTTTTCCAACATATTTGACCATGCACCAGCACTGCCCAGAGGATCCATGTACATATATGTGGTACCCCCCAAAAAAAGAGGGCGGGGGACTGTTGGTCTTAGTTATATTTCATAGATTGTTTTAAATGCTGCCGTTTGATTGTTTTATTTAAAACATAGCATGTAAATGGTGGTTTCTTATATGAGTTGAACAGATGTGTTTACTAGTTATTTTGTTGTGCTATGTGTTTTTGATGCTGTATTTGTGTTGCTGAATGTTTGTGTTTTCACTATATCGTTTGTCCTGAGAAAAACACATGTTTTATTGAAATGCTGGTATTTGCAGTTTTTTAAGGCATATTTTTGTATATAAAACAAATCTAACAAAATGAAGGTACTTCACAATTCAATAAAATAGTAAACACATACAAACAAAAACAAATGAAAGGACACACATAAAAAGTATATCACCAATGACAAACATCAACAAACTAAGAACCCCCCCCCAAAAAAAAAAACACATCCAAAAGACAAAACTTTGAGGATACTTTTTGGTTCAACCCCCCCATTTTTTTTGGTAGTCTTATTCGACCATAAACCTTCAAAACACATATATATATATATAATAACACAAGTTTCGTTTTGTTTTTTGCTTTCAAAACCCAAAAAACACTAAAACCACACAAGGACAACCCCAAAAACATTTGTTCAGGCTAAACCAAACAGTATCTTCAACGTTTTGTTTTTTGGGTTTTTGGGTTTGCTTGTGCTTTGGTCCTTTGGGCTTTTGCAAAAGCTGACCTGAAGCCTTTCTTCTCAAGCACTCTCTGTTGTCCTTGTCTTGCACGAGCCATGCCTCTCGTTCCTCGTGCATGTGCCGCAGCCAAGCCGAAGGGCCACTGGTCGTCCCTAGCTCAAGGTTTGAGTAGCAACTGTGACTGGTCACCTGTGCATCATGTTCGCATGCATTAGGCTAAACGACAAAGACTGGGCAATTGAGAGTGCAACGATCTCCTCCACGGAGCATCTTGGCAAGGTAATATGGCTCGGCTTCATCCAACTGGATTTCCTGCTTTCCTCTGGCTCTGCAACCTTAGGTCCGAGTATGCGTTCAGCCCCATGCACGTTGACATGGACTCGGAGCACCTTGGCTCACAAAATGCCGGGCTTTCATCTGTCACCTTGCTAAGTCTATTCTGTTCTTGTCTGTTGTGCTGGGGCACGTCCATGTTTATCAGAAGTCTGTTCTGCTAACGCTCCTTCCTTCTTATAATCAACAACAAAAAGTGTAGAGTATAGTGAAAGTAGGTGCCCTTTCAACTTTGTAATGGATTCTGATCCACAAACTGAACGCATGCTGGTGCTGCTGTAGGACGCAGCTCGTGCTGATGCCTCTTTGGGTGCTTTTGCAGAGCCCGGTCCGAGCCTCTTCGTGAGCCCGGTCCGTGCATTTTTGCCGCGTCCTGATGGGCTCGTCATGTTGCACTAAATTCAGTACATGGTTGGTGTGCCAACACCATTTTTGCATGGTCTTTGGAGGCCTGGTGGGGCACCAACAACCCCTCCGGAATTGTTTCGACAGCTTGGTACTCCACCAGGCCCTCCACCTGAAACAACACCTCAACCTTTCACTCCGCCGTTTCCATCTCCCTGCACACCAGCGGAAGCTTTTCGATGGTGGCTGGGCATTGCGGCTGGCCCAAAGAAGCTATTTTCTGCCTTCAGTGTGTAACCTCTCTGTCTTTTAGTGAAGGATTGAAATACGATTACTATACAGAGTGGAGATATAAAACAGCTGTTTGTCATATGCATCTCTCAGTGGTTCTCTTGCATGAAACCCGCAGGGCAATTCAAATCTTCACTGCTTGCATGGCTCCAGCACGTAAGCTTAGCTTGGTTGACCGCCGACATATCAAACACCCCGGGCAAGCCAAGATCGACGTAGCAATCATTTGTAAATATGATGGCCAGTTCTGTGTCTGCGAGATTGTACGCAAAAAGCATGTGCTACGGAACCCCTTACATGATCAACTGGTCTGGATAATATCGAACCGTGAAGTTTGTGAAGAAGTGCGTGCGCTACATCTTTGAACATTTCGGTGGCTTCCAATGTCGCAACGACCTGGACGTGCGCTTCCTCAAAGCCCTTGCTCCGCTTATGCCTACCTAGCCTTCAGGAATTGGCTCTTGGTTTCCATGGTGAACCTGGGGCTGGAAGGACATCAATAGCGCAAACTATTGCAATGGCCATGTCTCGACACTGGATCAGAAAAGCACACAAAGAGGCCCGAAAGCAGTCACGATTCACTGCACCTGTCACGAAATCAGAGCGCCTCAAAGATCACCACCATGCCCAAAGTGCTGCGCCTGCCACGAAATCTGCCTTTTGAAGTAAAACCGCTCCGATCCCTTGCGCCTGTCACGAAAAGTCGACTTTACCAAGAGGTTTCCCTTGCACCTGCCACGAAAAGTGACCACCACGTCCGAAAATGCGCGTGCCGCCACAACGAGAGCGCAGGCGCGACAAGCGCCCGCTGCGGACACCCCGACTTTGTGAGCCCGCGCCGTCGAAATGCACGTTAACGATTCTGAGAGGCGGCAATGTACTGCAAATAGCAACGAAATAGCCGGACCCGACCATGCAACATCTCGATCTAACACCGGTGCTCAACCACTACCGTAAGAACTATAGAGTTTGTGTGTCCACACTGTTTTGGAAAAAACAAGGAGCAGGTCACGATGGCTACGTCTCACATGCTTCTTTTATGAAGGGCTTGACGTTGCCTGGCTTGCGAAAGAAGCAAGTCCAAGCAACATCATGACAGTGTTGAAGCGCATCTTTGCATCAATGCAACTTTCTCTATGTCAGGCCTGCCAGTGAAAGGCCCGGACCTGTGATGTGATTGCCCCTGCATGGGTGATAAAACTGATCTCTTGAGTCCCGCGCCCTGGTTGAGTATGGCAATGGATGACGTACCTCGTCGAACAACCATTCTCTCTCTTTGGTGTCACGAGTTGCTGCTGCATGCTCCACCACGACCAAGAAGCGCCCCTTCGTGACGCTCAGCGCTCACTCTATCCATTGACATTTCAGACTCTCCGGCCCCTCAATGTCGCGAACTTTTGAGACAGCAACCGTGGACCGATTTGTTTCACTACGTTCTTCTTCTGCCACCATTGACATCTCCACGCGCATCCATACCCATGCCTTCAGGTGTCGGTATCCCGGTCAAGGTTGAGCTTGCGGAGCCAGAAACTTTAATCGAGGAAGCCTTGGAAACAATGATGGAGGAGATGGCGCCTGAGGCTGAAGATGGCTTGCCTGACTCTTTCGAGGCGGATGAGACCATGTCCACAAAAAATGGGTGAGCATGGTGATGGCTTTTCACCCCACTATATGTGTCTGTGGTGA